GGCGGTTGCACCGCCTGGCAGAGCTCGAAGACTAAGTCTCTGGGTGGTGCCACCTCCTATCAGGGGCGGTTGCACCTCCTGCCAGAGTTCGAAGACTGAGCTCAGGCAGTGCCACCGCCTGACTGAGGCGGTTGCACCGCTCAGCCAAAGCTCGGAGACCGAGCCCAGGCGGTGCCACCTCCTGTCAGGGACGGTTGCACCGCCCAGTCTCACTCGGAGACTGAGCCCAGGCGGTGCCACCGCCTGGCTTGGGCGGTTCAATCGTCTGGCAGAAATCAGGGTCCGAATGGGTTGATCCATTCGGCCCAATTTGGGTTTTTCAGGGGCCCAATTGCCCCAAGATTAAGTTAATGGGATCAACTCCCATTTTTAACTTAATCATTGTGCTAACTACGATATTTTCTAAGATATTTACTGCAACTTGCTCCGATGCGTCAATCGTTTCTTCTGGCGAGCTTCCGGCGAACTTCCGTCGATCATCCGATGAACCCTCGGTGATGCTCCTACGGATTTCCAGCAAACTCCTGGACTTACGACGATCCACTTGGTGAGTTCCGACGAGCTTCTTTGGCAAGCTCATGGACTTCTCGGATTTGTTCCCGCAGAACCTCCGATGATTGTCCGAACTTCCGTCGAACTCTCGAACTCCCAACGTGATCATTGTCTTGATTCCGGCGCAACTCCTGCTGCATGTCTTTCTTCCATCTTAATTCTGCACACTTAAAACAAAACTTCGATCGAGACAATTAATCCTAAGCAATTAACCAAGTTGTCCGGCATGTCATTGGTCTCTCGACGCTTCGTCCGATTCTTCGGCGCATTGTCCTCTCCTGTAGCCTATTGCCCAATCGGTCAGTTGACTCCGCAACTCTGATATCCTCGGCACAATACCCGCTCTTCTTGGCCCGATGCCCGAGTCCACGGCCCGAAGCCTTCTGTCGATACATCGACCGGCCCGACGTCCAATCTTCTGACATGTTCCTCCGGCATAATATGATTTTCCTGCTTTAATTGTCTCATCTTGATCGAAGCATCCTGCATCACTCAAAACACAGATTAAATCATAAACATATATCAAGTAGTTTCATCATCAAAATACGAGATTCAATAGTACAATCTCTTGCTCCTAGCTTATGATGGTAAATATTTCTAAAAAAATAATAATTTTTAGGTACCCATTTGACCTTGGGTGCTTCAAATATCGATCTATACAACTTATCATGTTGCATTGAGTCATTTAAGGTTTCTTTAAGAACTCAAATCAATTTATGTGGACTGTATTTCTTAAATGGACATTTATATGCAACATGTCCAAATTTGCAACAAAAGTTGTATTTGTTTCGGGGTGAAACATGCAAGGTAGGGCCTTTAACAAAGATAATTGGATTTTGGTGAGAGCTACTCACAAATCCGATTCCGCCTCTTCTATGAACGTTACCCTTATTGGCAAATATCATATTCAAGGACTTGTTGCCAACCTCAAATTTTTCTAATATTTATTTGAGTAGCAAATTTTCCTTTTTAAGTATTTTTAATTCATCATATTTTTTGCAAGGAGCTAAACTATCATCATGCTTAATTTTTAGTCTATCAAAATCACGAACAAGAGACATATGCTCATTTTTTAATAATTTATATTTTTTACTAACTAATTTACATTCATCAAATAAATCATAAAAAATACTTAAAAGCTCATTGAAAGATAAATTTGTATTTAGTTATTAGTGTGTAGTGAGCAACTTGCTCTGTGTTAGTTGGCTCCTCTTTTTCTTTTTTAGTTGCTTCTTCTTTACTTGAGGACATTCACTTTTAAAATGTCCCAGCTTCTTATATTTGTAGCATATAATTTATTTTTTCTCGGGTTCAATTTTATTTTTAGTATTATTTTTAAATTTATTTATTTTTATAAATTTTTTAAACTTTATTGTCAATAATGTAAGTCTTCATCATAGTCCTTATCGCTTGAATTTTTTTTCAAGTGATCTTCATAAGTTTTTAGTGTCATATCCTTCCTGTTCTTTGGAAGGTTATTCTCAAGCTCTCCATGAGCATTGTAAGTCATTTTATGTGTCATTAGTGACCCGATAAGTTCTTCGAGAGGAAAATTATTTAAATCCTTTGCTTCTTAAATAGCTGTTATTTTAGGATCCCAACTCTTTCGAAGGGATCTCAAGATTTTTTTAACAAGTTCGAAATTAGAAAAACTTTTACCAAGTCTTTTTAGACCATTGACGATATCCGTAAATCGGGTGTACATGTCTCTAATGGTCTTACTCGGTTTCATCCAAAACAACTCATAAGTATAGATTAAAAGATTAATTTTTGACTCCTTTACTCTACTAGTGCCTTCGTGAGTAACTTAGAGTTTGTGCCAAACATCAAAAATTGTTTCACAAGTTGACACTCAATTGAACTTGTTTTATCCAAAGCACAAAACAAGGTATTCATAACTTTGACATTTAAAGCGAAAGTCTTCTTTTCCAACTTATTCCAATCATTCATTGCAAGAGAAGACTTTTGAAAGTCATTTTCTACAATATTTCATAATTCGAAATCTATAGAAATTAAAAAAATCATTATTCTAATCTTCTAATAGGTGTAATCCATTCTATTGAATATGGGCAGACATTTAATTAAAGCATTGGGGTGAGAATTTCCTAATTCAATTCAATAAGTGATGATGAGATACATTTGAAACATCTATAAGAGAAAATTACATGTCTTATGTTTCTTATTTAGTCTCTCCGTTGCTTAACTCTTTGTGGAGTTCGCGAAAATTACATATTGCGTATTTTTTATTTAGTCCCTAGAGATTATATGGTCCTATTTAATTAGGTAATATATATTATAGATATGATTGGATTCTGATTATAGTTATTGGTCAATATAAAAGAAGTTCATGTTAAGGTATGATTCATATAATCTTGATGGGAGAAGCTCTCATAATAACTTATTCTAGACTCTCTACTCTCGCCTATAAATAAATATGACCTTTAGGAACTAAAAAGAAGCATCTCAAATAGGATTCAGTTGAGGGATTACAATCTCTCTCTCAACCCTTCTCCTTACAAATTGATATATTAGATCCGAAGATGGGTGCTTGTAGATCAGATAAGGTTTATTATTCTGAAAAATAATAAAATATATATATCGTAATATTATTAGATCTAATTTTATTTTATTTTAATTTTGACATAAAAGTTTTTTCAGATACAATGATTATATATTTCATGCTAACATCTTATGCTATGCTTAACTCTTTGTAGAGTTTGAGATAATGATATAGCATGATTATATGTTACTTATACTTATAGTCAATACTCCCTAATAATTTTGAAGGTAGAGTAATCACCAATATGATCGACTTGACATAATTTTCATTAATATGTAATGATCATCAAGATCTTACATTATCGATACGACATAATAACTATAGTATAATAGTATGTGACATGATAGATACAAATGAAAGAAGATAATAACTCTTAGAATCTAATAAGATACAAATCAAATCACCTTCGATCGCAGGTGTGTATCTGGATGCAAACATCTAATTCTTCGACCATCTTAAATTAAAATTTTGATTTCATTCAGACAGAAAATGAATAAATCTAAATTATTTTTTTATTTTCCCGATCCGTAAAATCCACGATGTGGAAAAGAAATCCCATTAGTCCTAGTCAGCTTTCCCCTCCAGCCCACAGGCCACAGCCCACACCTCTCTCTCTCTCTCTCTCTTCTCCCAATGAAAAATATCTGCGTCAGCCCACAGCCCACAGGCCACACCTCTCTCTCTCTCTCTCTCTCTCTTCTCCCAATGAAAAATATCTGCGTCCTCCGTCTTATCCTCCCCTGCTCGGTCGCCAACGTGCGTCTGTCTCCCTGCGGCGCCCAACGTTTCCTGCTCTCAATTGGCCATCTATCCTGGACACACTTTGACCCGTGGCCTACTTATTGCGTCAGCAGCGTTACAGCCCTCCGCCCCTACTCTAAAAGAAGGGTCAAATGTGTCGCCTTAATCCGTGTGACGCAGCAGTGAAATGCCTCACGCCACACACCTACACCTACACCTACACCTACACCTAATATGGTGGGAAGCAGCGGATTGTCATCCCATTCCTAATACCATGACGTGCCGCTGGTTTATAGAATTCAAAAGCAGATTCCTGATCCCGCACCCTCGCAACAAATCACACACTCCGTCGCCGTCGGAGTCCGCAGGCGACTCCTTGTGGCGACTCATCCAACTATATACTTTGCTCATACATTATTATTGACTTCAGTATTCCAGACAGCACACCCCGAGTCTTCTTCATTTGGCATCGTTGCGGATTTACACGGCTAACTCGTAACATGATGGCGAGGCGTGTACTATATCGTATTATATTACTGCACATAAAAGAAGGCAAGTCTTCTACGGTATCCTCGATCTGACTCGAGTGCATGCCACATCAGACACGCGTCCCCCTCCCGTCTCCGGCGCTAGACCGTAGTCCACACATCTGTTGATTGGCTGAAGATGTGGGTCCCGACGGGAATTTTGGGAGGTGTATACGTGTTGCGTCCTGTTTCGTCTGGTGATTGCAAAACCGCCCACTGGAATTTCCCCGGCCGCTGCGGAGTCCGGTATCGTGGTTTTGTTTTTGTCACGAGGTTATAATTGGAAGGGAGATGAATCGCTTGGAAGAAAAAGGCAAGAGATATGATAAGATACGATTTCTTTTTGAGGTCCCCGCATCGTGGGGCCCGGAGGTACTCGTGCCCGGTGGAGGCGGCGTGGGCCGCCGCGATGGACGGTTGTGATGCGCCCCCTTCTGGTGAGGCGAGGGGAGGGCTACGTCAGACCAACTGTGCGTTGGCGCAGAGGTGGGACCGCGGCCCGTGACGCTGACCCACGGGCAAGGGCAGCTGCGCTGTCCCGGGCACGGCACAGGCGCTTTCTGTTGCTGGGGCTGCCACCGCGACGAGGAGCCCATTTATGACCCCTTGCCCCCCGGCTCTCTCTTCTCTCCCCCAAGTGTCTTTACGTTTTAAGCGGAGGCGCACCCACCTCACACTTGCGTTTCGGAGGACTTGGATCTCGACATGGCGGAGATCTGTTGCGACGTCGCGGGCAAGGCGGAGCCGCCGGTTGCCCCCTGCGAGCCTAGTACCCGCGCGGTCAGGCGCCGCCGGATGGTGATCCGGCGGTTCAAGTTCGTTGCTGGCGTGGAGGCGGTGGATCCGGCGGAAGAGGCGCGCCGGAAGAGGCAGCGGTTGGGTTGCTCAGCCTCGTTGCCCGCCTTGGTGCCCCTGGATTTGGAGAACTCGGTAGCCTCGGAATTGGAGCCCCGGAGAGCTTGCGAGCTGGAGGACGCGGACTTCCGCACCTCGAGGTACGGGGTGATGTCGGTTTGCGGCCGGAGGAAGGAGATGGAGGACGCTGTGTCCGTCCTTCCCGATTTCTCCCGGCGAACATGTGGGTCCGTCGGTGGGAGCCACCATTTCTTCGGCGTCTACGACGGCCATGGTTGCTCCCATGTAAGATTGATCATGCGGTCTCTATTATATCTTTTCTCTTTTCCTCTTTCCTCGTCCTTGTGGTTGTATTACTCGAGTAGTTGTGGGCTTATAACTCCCCCTCCTCTCCGCCTGCAGGTGGCGGCGTTATGCAGTGGTCGGATGCACGAGTTCGTGGCGGATGAGATGTCGAGGCTCGGATCTGTTCCACCGACTCCGGGGGCTTGGACGGGGCTGATGGAGCGGAGCTTCTTGCGGATGGACTCGGCGGCGGCGGAGGCGCTGCAACAAGGAGGCCGGCCAACCCTCTGTTGCCGCTGCGAGCTCCACGCACCGAGGTGCGACAACGTGGGCTCCACCGCCGTCGTCGCCGTCGTGGGGCCCACCCGCATCGTCGTGGCCAACTGCGGCGACTCCCGCGCCGTCCTCTGCCGCGGTGGCGCCCCCTTGCCCCTTTCCTCTGACCACAAGGTAATCATGGAAGACAAGAAATGGGACTTCTTTCTACTTCGGTTATTCTGCTGCATCAGCCTGATTTCTTCTTGCTCTTGTGGGTGTTGCAGCCCGACAGGCCGGACGAGCTGAGCCGGATCGAGGCGGCGGGTGGTCGAGTCATCTACTGGGAGGGGGCGCGAGTTCTAGGTGTGCTCGCCATGTCCCGAGCTATCGGTACGGTACTCTGTTCCGCCCCACCACCTCTCGCAGGCGACTGAGTTCGCGTTAACTGATTAGCTGCCTGTATGTCTTGTTTCTAACAGGGGATGGCTATCTAAAGCCCTACGTGACATCAGAGCCGGAGGTGACCGTGACGGAAAGGCGCGATGACGACGAGTTCCTCATCCTTGGCAGCGACGGGCTGTGGGACGTGGTCACCAACGAGATGGCGTGCGACGTCGTCCGCACGTGCCTGCGTGCCAAGGCGCCCTTGAAGGAGCCCATCGGCGAGGAGGTGGTCGGCAGAGATGGCCGTTGCAGCGATAGGGCGTGCTCCGACGCAGCGGCCCTGCTGACGAAGCTGGCGCTTGCGAGGCAGAGCGCGGATAATGTCAGCGTGGTCGTCGTTGACCTCAGATAGTGTAGGAGGAGATGGTAGCAGTAGCAGTTGTGGTATGTGAAGCCGCGGTGGAGAAGCTTTCACCTCCAGTACTATGGTAGTTCTTTTTTCTTTTTTTTTTCTTGTTTTATTATTTACCACCTCAAGATCCGAACTAGGAAAACTTGAGGCTGTAATGTCGAGTGAGGAGGAAAGGGTGGAGACTTAAACGAAGGATCCATTGGTAGGAAAAAGGCGAAGGGAAAATGCCTTTTAATTTGTATTTACTGCAATTAGTGAATTTAATATATATATATATATATATAGATTAAATAGACTCAGGCAGGCAATCTTGCTTTTCTGATCATTTTTTCTGTATATCCTCTGAATTCCAAGTACTTGTATACGCCAAAAATTTCCTCATTTTTTTGGATCAGCATGGCTTGCTATCACTTATTTTTCCACCAAAAATAATATATTTCATATTTCAGCTTATGATCGAGAATTGTGGGTAATTTTACAGCACAACCCGTTACTCCCGTCATGAGAGCATATATGTTCAGCGGTGATCCGGTCAACACCGTCATCAATATATTGCATCTCCTTTCTATACGTAGATTATGATTCGATAGTATTCTAAGATGGTACACGCATCTGCCTATCGCTTTTAATTGGGAATGTCCAAGAATAGTGCGTCAGGCTATGAAGAGCGTAATAAGGGAATCTTAACCCACTCAACGCGTGAATCGTATTCCTCTAATGCCATGCAATGATGCTCACACGATATATTCGACTCGTGCAACGGGAATCGGGTCTCCTCGCGACATCTCACGACGTCGGTCACGCCACTGCACATTGGGTCGTTGGAGAAGTCGCGACTCAGACGAGTTGATCAAAGACCGTACCCGATCCGTTTGCGCTGTGGATTGGATCAACTTCATGTTCAACTTTATCGGATCTGAAATGCTTACCCATACCCGATCCGTTTGCACTGTGGTTGGGATTGACGGAGTCGATGGTTAGGATGAGACTGTGAGCCGGCAATCCTTCCATTAATGTACCGCCCCCACTTCTCTCTCGTTGCGAAAGGAAAAGCTACGAACAGTAATCGAGGAGGGAAGCTTCAGATCTGGCGAGGAAGGCTTCCGGTTCCCCGTTTACAGGTCGCTCTCTCTTCTTGCGATCCTCTCTAATTACTTGGTTGGCCATTGCTCTTGGATCTTGATTCTTTCGTGGAACGATGCTTCACATTGTCGATTCCGATCGCTCGCTTGGCGCATTCGATCCGTAGCAGATTCTCGCGTCTCGGCTCAAGTTCATGGATCTTTTTCGAGATGCATTTGCCCTGCATTCCTTCGTTCGTTCTTTATCTATTTACGGAGTTTGTGCCTATCAACGTGGACTTGTTTGATCTGAAACTCTCTGCGCTTCAAAGGTTTTTCGTTATGGAATTTAGTGAGGTTGATGTGATGATTTCTTTGCCTTCTTACTTTGATCAGCATTAGGGCTCGCAGTCCTTTGGGATTCGAAGAACTGAAGTATGGCGTCAAGGCGAGCAATTAATCCATCTCGACGCGTGTCAGATAGCGGAAGCATTCCGCTGGTCAGCTCACTCAATCAAAAGTCGCGTAATTCGCCTCTATTAGCTGTTGGATTGGTTGTCTTGGTACGTACTTTATTCCCATTTCTGGAGTACAATCGCTTTCTTAGTAGATAGAGGTGCGCCATCCACGGATGGGGGAACGTAAATATTAGAATGTGATGGGTCGACCTTTCTGAAATTTTAGGGTGCTTTTTTCCTCATTGGTTATTCACTTGGAGGTTCAGGTACGTGCGACTCTCATATATTATAATTGAGATAGAATCCGGCACTTGATACAATTTTGGGGTGAACTTATTGTCTGTTGATATGGACATCTCGTACTCCTCTCATTTATATTATTTTCTTGCCTAAACTATCATGCTTGAATAAGCTACTTTTCTCGCTACGATGACCAGGTGGATTTGCTGGTAACAAGGAAGCTATAAATATTGTTCAAGGTACCTTTTCTATTTTCCAGTTGACCCAGTAGACTTTCTTAAAATAAATTATTGTTTCGTCTGATCACACGATTATCTCTATGGATGTTTCCCTATGGCTGGCCTTAGCTTAGTTTTTACCCATATGTATATATAATTTGTTGAGTTTGAGAAGCGTTCTATATATGTGCTCAGTTTCTTTTACTTTTCATTTTGCCTCATGTTTCACCTTTTACCAAACTTTTTTACATCTTGCTCCTACTCATTTTCACAAAATCAGTCTCGTATGCAAGAAAATTGTAGGTCACAAAAATAATATGCCGAGACACAAGAAGACATTTCTGCTACAATTGAGTTTTTGAAGATGTGTAGTGTAAATCATTGGACCAATACGGATATTTCATTCAAACCTTGTATGATACAAGATTAGCTATATTGCACCACTCAGGAATCTGAGAAGGCTTCTTGGAAGACTGTTGAAGTCAATTAAAAGTTTGATGTCAACCCTCTGTAGTTGAATTCAGATGTGTTGCTAAAGCAAATTTAAATTGTAAAAAAATCTACAACACTAGTTTGTGTAACCAAGTGGAAACTTTCTATTATTTGCCTACATATGACCCTTTTTCCAATCCAGGTGGTGTTTTCGATTTGTAGAGCATCTGAAATAAGCCAATGGAGCCAACGAACGGAACCTTTAAGTTATCATGCATGAAACACTTTCTGTAAATATCCTTGATGAACTAAGAGCTAGGCTTCAAGTGTTGATGAACTAACATTCTTTAAACAAAATAATGGCATCCTCTAGTTATCATATTTCAACTCCTCTGCTTTAAGTTCTTTGTGGAGCATTCTTGGCAAAGCACCTAGGCTATATTAAATGTTAATTGTATTTTTCACTAGTACTCATTGCTCATGTTATCATTGCATGTGGATATTTGATGCTACAGCTTTCATCACTTTGTCAAAATTATTCTAAATTTTCATTTGTATTTCTCATATTAACAGGTGTTTCCTGCACATCAGATGTTCTACAAGCTATACCTATTCTAAAGAAAGCTTACAATGATGGTATGCGGAAGGTGTTGTATGTAGGTCCTGACTCCTGTGCGGTTGTTTCTAAATTGTTGAAAGAAGAAGATACTGAAGCCTGGGGTGTTGAACCATATGATCTGGAAGATGCCGATAATAGTTGCAAGAGCCTTGTACGCAGAGGCTTTGTGCGCGTATCTGATATCAAGTTTCCTCTACCATACAGGCCAAATTCATTTTCCCTTGTTGTTGTCTCAGATTCATTGGATTACTTATCTCCAAAGTACCTGAACAAGACCCTCCCAGACCTTTCAAGGGTATCAACGGATGGTCTTGTTATATTTGCTGGTAATTTTTTTTTAATACTTCTTTATTGCCTATACTCACTGCAGTGTAGTTTTTACAGTTTTTATGATGTATCAAGGGTACCTTCAGTGCATCTCTTACCATTCATCTTTTTTTTGGCACAGAACAGGGTGTATATACTTGTGACAATTAGTATTAAGAAGAATGTTTTTACGAGCTTGGTCATGTAGTCAGTGAAGGTTAAGGTAGATCTGTTGTTTCTGGCACACATAGATGTGAAGATCCAAACTTTTAATTTTCTTTTGTTGGACTTCATTGTTTTTAATTCTTTTCTTTTGATTACTTTTTAATTAAGCTATGTGGTCATTTATGGATCAATATCTTGAAAAAATTCTGTTTGCTATTCTTTGCTGTGGCATCTCAGAAACTATATCCTAGTATATTACTGGTAAGGTTCCATCCAATAGGAGTTCAGCCACATATAGATTTAGAAAATAATTCAGGGCATATTTTTTCATAGTTGTACACAAACAATAACAAATTATATGGTTTCTGCTGTGAAATGTCTAGGCGTCTTTGTGCTTGTTTCTTGCCTACATCCTTTCATGCAATTTGTATGAAGATATTTAAATCTACATGAGCGTTCAACAGCATGGATTCACACTTTTTAGTTTGAAATATCCAACACCTAAACACATAAAAGCTGAAGATAAGTTGCTCTTTGAATGTTCATAAATTACAAGAGTGTTGGCATTTTCTATGTTAATTATATAGTTTAAAATGGTTTGTATTAAAGTCAAACAACACCCAGACCTCTGTGATGTGAATATAATCCTTCAGTATTTAAAAGAAGTCTTCATTATTCTCATTCCAGCTCATGATTTTTGTAGGTTATCCAGGTCACCAGAGAGTGAAGGTTTCGGAGCTGGCAAAATTTGGAAGGCCGGTATGTTCTGCATTAATCTACAGTTCTGTTGGCATTCCCCACTTTGTAGGATGTCATTTGATATATGGTTTTTCTGGGGATAGTAGTTGGCATGATAATGTCTCTATTTCATGCATATAATTTCTCTTCCTCTTCTTTTCATTTTTCCTTTTTATCTTTCTTTATCAATGCTAGATTCAGGTTTTTTCCTTAGTGGATGCATCAGTCTCCAGTCTTTAGTTGGAATAAATGAAGAGTAAAATTGATTTAAAAGGGATGCACATGCTGACCTGTTGTTTGACCAGAGTTATTCTTTTGTTCTATGTATAGAAAATTCTCTATATCATTGATAGAAGAGGTTGTTGATTGTCAACTTGTTGTAACATAAAACTTGTTGGCTTGTACCTTCTTTGAATATTTATAGAGGAATTCATCTTGTTTAGCAACCATGACGAAAGTCTCTTTTCGCTCTTCTCTATGTGCATGCATTTTAATTACTCTCAGGAAAGCCAATCACAACCAACATTACTATACTAAATTCTGTAGGCTCTCTCTGGCCTCTTCAATTGGGTTTTGCAGTTCAATACTTAGCTTCAGAAACATATTCTTCTCAGTTTGCCTCTTACCAAATTCATAGGGTGGTAACCATCAGTTTTTTTTTCTGAACTCGAAGAGAAGCTGACTTTGCTTTTCAAATCATTACTTGTAATGTTCTCAGTGCCATCGATACTCTTCTTCTTGTTCTTTGTCATGAAATTTTAGGATTCAGTCGGGAAATTGCGTATCTCCACTAGAGTTTAAGATGAGATCTTGGAACTGGCTGAGAAATGATAGAAATCTAATGGAGGTGTAATTGCATGTGAACAATTCTACCGCATGTCTGGCACTGGAATGAGAAAAGGTAGAAACTTTTACTTGGATTTTCAGGACATTTAATCATGACAAAATAGCTTGTTTGTGTGAAGAAGCATCATTATGTATAAAGCAGATGCCACAGAAAAATGTGTTTCTGATCTGAAACTCTCAGTTTGTGCTTTGTTTAATATCTCTCATGTAAGAAATGTGTTTCTAATCATTCTAATGTTACACCGAATTGTTTTAAGTAGCTACAGAACTGGTCACTGTGATTGTATCTATTGCATTTTCAAGATGATTACCATTTGACATTTCACTTTATGTGCAGGCCAAATTAAGGAGTTCATCCTGGTGGAGACGATATTTTCTTCAGAACGGCTTAGAAGAGAATGAAACTGTTGTAAAGAAATATGAGCAAGCTTCAAGCAAAAGTTCTTACAAACCACGCTGCCAAAATTTTCATGTCAACTCGTAGAAATCATCCAAGTCTGGGATCTCTCATTTGCAGAGATATATTATTTTGTAGCCACTATTTGCCACCGATTGTTGCTGGCACACCTTAATATGGTTATAATGTTAATTGACACTACTTCCTCCAGCTGTAGATCTTCCTTCTTATTAAAATCAAATTGATGGAGTGTTACAGTTGACTTATGTCTGCTGTGTACAACCCAAAAAAAATTGTGGTATGATTCTGGTGGAATTATTCTCTTTTTCCAATTTTCCTTTTCATTCCATAATAAATGCATCGCTACACCAATGTATTTTTTCTAAATCTGATGTTTCTTTTCTTATGTTTTCACAGTGAATCATGGCCATTCTCCAGCTCTAGGATCTTCCACCCACGGTATGTGTTTCCCTTTCCCAGGTCCTCCAATGCTTGCAGGTTCTTTCAATCAGCTCTAGATCGTGTTCCACCTGACGTCTGGAGTCGGATGATTGTCCGTGATTGTGGTAACTTCTAATCTTGTTCATATCGGAGTGGATATTAGTTTCTTTGCTAGGTAGAACACTAAACAACTTGGCTTTCGCAATTACTTGCCTTGTGTTATCTCTAAGTTAATTGAGTAAAGATAACATTTGACGTGTTCGACACTAGAATGAGAGAGTGTACGTAAAGAAATCACTCGTTTACTCTGGAAGCTTACATCTTTAGATGTTCCATGGTGATGGAAACCAGGCCAAGAGCTCAAAAATCAGTAACATGGAAACCAGCTGGTCCACGAGGAAACCAAATCCAAAGGCTCTACCTGCCAAATCTTCCAGTTGGTGTTACCAGATCAGCATTAGTATCTAGTTATTATCTTGTTATGCATGTAGCTATTGCACCAGCGAATGACTTTACAATGAACTTGTTCCTGCCCTGCCACTGGGTCACGGAAGCTCGTGACAGAGGTCTGACCCCTGCAACTGCAGTCGCCTGCTTTACAGATAAAAGAGCTTCAAAAAGATTACCAGACTACTAATGCATTTAATGTCATAACGGAGTTGGTGAGACAACAGCGGTCACAAGCCTACAGCTGCTGACGCTGCCCTTCGCCCCTCCTCTCGGCCTGCCAAGTTAACTTTGGCGTCCAGGTTGCACCTGATGGCCGATCGCTTCACGTTACTTGAAGCAGCTGCTGCCTCCACTCAACACTTAACCCACCTCTTCTTCTGCCATCCTCTCACCACCAACCACCGTCCGCCTCCTATCCTACCAAGCTCTCGTTCTGTTCTCTCCATCGATCGTAATGGAAGGGCTGATTCCGTTCCTATACAGGGCCTTCGTCAGGTACAGCAACGGTGAGCAGTCTCCTATGAGGAACATACTGTTCAACGAGTCGCCTTCCGCTTCCTACATGCGACTTCCCGGCGACTCCGGTAGATTGCTGTCATCAGAGATCCATTTCTTCTCTTCTTCGTTGCAGCCTCCGCCGGCGCCGCAGTCTCCTCCCCGGAGAACCGCTCCTCGATCAAGACCCACTTAAGGTATTCGATCCTTTATTATTTGACTTCAATAAGGCATGGGTATATGTCAAAGTCAGTCCTGCCACAATTTGCCCTTCTTCATGAAGCTTGTATTTGTCCACATACTGTACAGTATTTGTCCCACAATGGTCGATTGCATCAGTTAAGACCTTGTTCTAGAAGCTTTATCTTGTTTCGTCATGAAAGTTTATCCAAGCCTAGATGTGAAACATCCTGTATGATTGACAAAGAATCATTCTACAAGATTCGTAGTCCGAGATATTCACGTTAAGCAGTTCTACACCTCCGAAAGGGTAGTCAAAGGCCACGATAAGGATCTGATTTCCTTCTCCTTGGAATGATAGCGTCGAGTCAAGTAGTCAAGTTTGACGGCGAAGCCTCAGTGCGCCTGTGATCGCGCACCTCGCATGTCGCGATGCTGACGGTGACCATGGAAAACTTCTCATTTGCGGTAGACTTTGACCTTTGTGACCATAGACAGGAGAGAAGGGCCCCACAGCACGTCCTCCCAGTAGCTCTGGCTGTGGGCTGCTATGTGACGAAGACGAAACCAGTGCTCGAGTCAACACTAAAGTTAAAATCCTTGTGTTCTCGAGCATGAAACCAAACATCCCAAAGGTTCCCGCAGGGCCAAATTGTCAAGAGCAAGAAAAACAGACCGGTTGTGTTCACGAGGAATTAGCTGCTACTGCAAGTCGACATCACGGTCAGCCCCACAACGCATTAGTCAAACTCATCCCAGTACCCATTACATACACCATGTGAACCTATTAGTCAACGCATCAACTGTTAACGAAAGTGATATCACAAACACCATGTTGCGCTATTCAATGGCAGGAGCAAGAACAAAGACCTTAAAACCCGACCCCCAACCCCCCCCCGGTCATCCAACTCAGCCCACCTATCATAATGGCCAAGAAGAAGCCCTCCCCGCTTCACCCTCTCAGCTTCTTCTTCCTCCTCCTCCCCCTGTTGCTCTGCCTCTCCGCCAGAGCAAAGGCCAAGCTGTGTCCGCCGTGCGGCTCGACGTCCGTCCCTTTCCCACTGAGCACGGGCGCCGGCTGCGGCGACCCGTCCTACAAGATCCGATGCGACAACGCGACCAAATCCCTCTTCTTCGACGCCCTCAACGGGTCCTCGTACCCCGTCACCTCCATCAGCACCTCCACCCAGCGCCTCGTCATCCGGCCGGCGGCCTTCGTGTCCAGAAGCTCCTGCGTCACCACGGATCTCTCCTCCCAGGGCATCCAGCTCAACAGCTCCCTCCCCTTCAACGTCAGCAGCAGCAACACCATCATGCTCCTCAATTGCACCGCCCGCCTCCTCCTCTCCCCGCTCAACTGCTCCTCCAACAGCCTCTGCCACGTCTACGCCAACGGCACCTCCGACGCCAGCGCCTGCCGGTCGCTCCCCATCTGCTGCACCTTCGTCGCCGGCGGCTCCTCCACTTCCTACTCCATCCGCGCCAGTGGCACCGGCTGCAGCGCCATCCGGAGCTTCGTGAACCTGGACGCCGTGGGAACGCCGGTGGCGCAGTGGGGAGAGCGCGCCGGCGTGGAGCTGCAGTGGGCGTCGCCTAGAGAGCCCGTATGCGGCACCCAGGCGGACTGCGAGGCCGGGTCCAACGCCACGTGTAGGGCGGATCCCTCTTCCAGCGGCACGATCCGGCGATGCTTCTGCATCGATAGCCTGCGGTGGGACCCCTTCTCCGGCGTCTGCGTCAACAGTGAGTTCCTCGAGCAGTCCTCCTCTGCTTGTGCTCTGTTTTCCTCTGCTTCTTTGGCTAACTCTCCCGCTATTTCCTTCTTCCTTATTATGTAGATGTTACGATCTCGAGCAGCAAATCCAACCATGGGCCTCTGATTGCAGGTAGCATTTCTGTCTGCACTATATGCATCGACTCATCTCGAAACCACATGTGGTACTTCTATACTTTATCTGCATCATTGACATCGATCTCTCAATGTTGAGGAATGCCTGTGGATGAGATGTACCCATCATTGATCTCTTAATGGTGAGTGCATCTTACCCGGGCGATTGCCTTGCCTTGACTCGGCCCAAGTCAATTTCTGCCTACAACATCGATCTCTGCTTGCTTTTGATGGAATGCAATATGATGAACAAATAAGGAGGCAACGTATGAAACAGGGATTTTGTCCGGCTTGGGCGCGGCGGCGGTCGTCACCGTGGCAGGCTTCCTGCTTTACCGTCGGCAGCGCCGCATCCGCGAGGCGCGCGAGCGGTTGGCCAAAGAGCGGCAGGACATCCTCAACGCCAATAACTCCAGCGGACGCTCCGCCAAGCACTTCACCGCGAGGGAAATCAAGAGGGCCACCTCCAACTTCGCGCACGACAATCTCCTCGGCTCCGGCGGCTACGGCGACGTCTTCAAGGGCATCCTGGCCGACGGCACCCCCGTGGCCGTTAAGTGCGCCAAGCTCGGAAATGTCAAGTCCACGGAGCAGGTGCTCAACGAGGTCCGCGTGCTTTCCCAGGTTAACCACCGCTCCCTGGTCCGCCTTCTCGGCTGCTGCGTCGATCTCGACCAGCCTCTTATGGTGTACGAGTTCATCCCCAACGGCACCCTCTTCGACCACCTCCACGGCCTCCGTCCGCTCCTCCCCTGGCGGCGCCGACTCGCCATCGCCCACCAGACCGCCGAGGGCCTCGCTTACCTCCACTCCTCCGCGATGCCCCCCATCTACCACCGCGACGTCAAGTCCAGCAACATTCTGCTCGACGACAAACTCACCGCCAAGGTCGCCGACTTCGGCCTCTCCCGCCTGGCGGAGCCGGGCATCAGCCACGTCTCCACCTGCGCCCAGGGCACCCTCGGCTACCTCGATCCGGAGTACTACCGCAACTACCAGCTGACCGACAAGAGCGACGTGTACAGCTACGGGGTGGTGCTGTTGGAGCTGCTCACCTCCCAGAAGGCCATCGACTTCAACCGCGGTCCCGACGACGTGAACCTGGCGGTGCACGTGCAGCGCAATGTGGAGGAGGAGAAGCTGATGGACACCATCGACGGGGCGCTCAAGGAGGGGGCGACCCAGGTGGAGCTGGACACCATGAAGGCTCTAGGGTTCCTGGCCATGGGATGCCTGGAGGAGAAGAGGCAGAACCGGCCGTCGATGAAGGAGGTGGCGGAGGAGATCGAGTACATCATCAACATTCTCGACGCTGGCGGTGTGGAGAAGCGTGACAGCGCTTAGCGATGCATGCAATGCTATCTATCAATTGGTAATATAGACTTGCAATGGATGTGTTCGGAATCATTCACTCATCGAAGGAAAATTGGTGATTTAGCATTTGGATTCTCTCATGGGTGATTACATAAAGCTTCTAATCTTGTCGATCTATTCGCTGTGGTTGGTGTGATGATGTTGTTTATGCGATGGAGTTAGATTGGTGGTAATGGTGACACCTATTCCTTTCCATATTATAACAAGAGCAAGTCAACGACAGCCCACAGAGAAGACCACGAGACAAGCACTTATTTGGACACACCAACAACGCATGCAGCGCCTCAAAGCGTGCTTATTATAGCAGAATCACCGCCACCAGTCAGTTCTTTAGTCACCATGGCGATCTTCCTGTTGTTGACGTCCTCAGCGGCGGACGCGACGACCACCGGAGTGCCGGTGGCGTTCCGGGCTATGACGAGACCGGGAGTGCGGTAGTTGGTGCCGGTGGCCCAGATAGCAGGGCCATAGATCACCACATTGCGATCCCTTTGCAGGACCAATATATAGTTGGCTCGGTTCCTCGAGGTGTCGGACGCCCACAGAGCGTTGCCGTTGCTGTAGATCACAAGGTTGCCATCCGCCTGCATCTTGCGGATGCAGATGTAGGCGCTATTGGACGTGCCGGAGGATCACACGGCACGATTAGAGTCGTAGAGGACCAGGTTCCGGTCTGACTGTATAGCGAGTCTTTTGGCCCCGTACGTCAGCGACTGCCCCGTGTAGAGCGTCTCGTCGGTGTAGAGAATGTTGTCGGCAGTGCAAGACGGTACAAGAAGGCCGAAGATGGCCGGCACGCGAGCGCCAGATGTGATCCTTTCGGGAATCCCGTCGTCTGCATCGCACCGTGTCACCCGTTCACGTATCGTGTCTTGTGGACCTTATGGACATTACAAGCATCCCGAAGTGATTACTCTAAGCAACTGAGTGGAAGACGATATCGCGATGATTATAGTTTACGGAAACAAACAAAAACCCACTTGTCGCAGAGAGACCGGAAGAACTTTTATACTATTATCAAGAATTCTTAGAGTTTCCAATGGTATAATTGATTTCTTTTCATCATAATCTCAATGATCTTAGTAATACTTTTTCTAAATAATATAAATCTAATGTTAGCAATCTTGAAAAGTACCTCAATCTTCTTCTTGAGCAGAAGAAAAACATCATATCTCCATCCTCCATTGCTATTGTTTCCCTCTGATATTTGTACAACAGATCAGTTGTTCTCAATGGACAACTTAACATTATCCATCTTCTAATTGATTATTTTGATTCAATCATTCATGATCATAATCTCATCATGAATACCTTTGCTAACTGCTACTCCAACCTTTTGAATAATCAAAATAACTCTTTAGACTATGGTTAGTCTTCTTCTTGCACTCTACTTTCTTAATTATCTAATAACATTTGGAACTCAATTACATGTTCTTTTACTGAAAAAAAAATATATTACCACTGCTCTAAATCTATGGCATATGATAAATCTCCTGATTCACTATTGATATTTTCACTCATTTTTGGTCTACAATTAAAGATTCATTATTAGCAGCTTTTGGTGACTTTTACAATTCATTCAATATCCCCCCCCCCCTCCTCGCAAAAACTCTAGCTAATCGAATTAAACCTCTTCTTAATCACTTGATTAGTCAAGAACAATAAGCTTTTGTTTATGATTGTAATAACATCTATGATAATGTAGTTATTGCTCATGTTTAAATATCAAAAAAATTAAGATTGATGAGTTGGAATACCATCACATCTCCAAAACAAAAAACAAAAAAGTTAAGAGGTTTCGAAAACATTATTAATTATATCATTGTCTAATTTTGCAGAAAAAAAAAACTAAAACGATTGTTGTAAATGATAATAATAAAAGTCTAAATAAATAAATAAATAAACCATAGAAATTAATAAAGTTTTGAAAACTTAAAATAAAAAAATAAGACCACCCAACATTATCTTATACCCTTGCCGTCCTCGTGCCTCAAACGGGAGGCCGTCCACGATACCAATCCATATAATTTTGAAGACTTCAAAACATTATCTTATTCCCTCGCCTTCCTCGTGCATCAAACGAGAGGCCGACCTTCCTGCTGCCACCACGTTCACGGATAAGGTTTGTCGATTTGCTCGAATCCGTACAACCTTCATCCCATCTCCATGCGACCTCTGTCACATGCATCGCTGTTCTACGACCACCGGTCTCTGCATCACTCTCACCATTTCACTACGGGCTCGCATCTATAAATGGAGGGGCTGTTATTGGCTCTTCATCACCAGCTGATCCAAAGAGCCACCACATACCACATCTACAATGGCGATTTCCACTTCCACCTCCGCCCTCCTCCTCCTCCTCCTGCCGGCCATCTTCGGCCTTCTCATACCGTCTTGCACTGCCGACAACATTCTCTACACCGACGAGACGCTCTACACGGGGCAGTCGCTGACGTACGGGTCCTACAGATTCACTATACAGTCAGACTGCAACCTGGTCCTCTACGACTCCGGTAATGCCGTGTGGTCCTCCGGCACGGACAACCGTGGCTACAACTGCATCCTCAAGATGCAGGCGGACGGCAACCTTGTGATCTACAGCAACGGCAACGCTCTGTGGGCCTCCAACACCTCGAGGGACCAAGGCAACTATATATTGGTCCTGCAAAGGGATCGCAATGTGGTGATCTATGGCCCTGCGATCTGGGCCACCGGCACCAACTACGGCACTTCCGGTGTCGTCATATCCCGGAACGCCACCGGCACTCCGGTGGTCGTCGCTTCCGCCGCTGAGGACGTCAACAACAGGAAGATCGCCATGGTGACTAAGAACTGACTGGCGGTGGTGATTCTGCGATAATAAGCACGCTTTGAGGCGCTACATGCGTTGTTGGTGTGTCCAAATAAGTGCTTGTCTTGTGGTCTTCTCTGTGGGCTGTCGTCGACTTGCTCTTGTTATAATATGAAAAGGAAAAGGTGTCACCACTACCACCAATCTAATTCCATCGCATAAAAAACAACATCACACCAACCACAGTGAATAGATCGACAAGATTAGAAGCTGTATGTAATCACCCATAAGAAAATCCAAATGCTAAATCACCTATTTTCCTTCGATAAGTGAAGGATTCCGAACACATCCACTGCAAGTCTATATTACCAATTGATAGATAACATTGCATGCATCGCTAAGCGCTGTAACGCTTCTCCACACCGCCAGCGTCGAGTATGTTGATGATGTACTCGATCTCCTCCGCCACCTCCTTCATCGCGGCCGGTTCTGCCTCTTCTCCTCCAGGCATCCCATGGCCAGGAACCCTAGAGCCTTCATGGTGTCCAGCTCCACTTGGGAAGTGGACTGTCAAAAATATTCCTACCCAGTCCAGTCCCGTCCCGTGATTACTCCTGGGTTTGAACCCCCACACCTTTCAGTACATCTAAAAATTTATATAGTTTTTTAAAATAAGAACAAGTGGACTTGGATAGAGATTGAAATGGTTGGAAGACGATTTAGAGCGTTGATATTCTTTCTATTGTCAACTTTGGAATTCACTGTTACCCTATATATATTCTTGTTTCTTTAGAATTGATAATGAATTCTTCAACATAGTTAGAAATAGATAAGAGATACCAACATCTCTGATAAACTTTTTCTCATTCCATAGAAATACATACACTTCTTTCAAGGTGGGTTATATTCACATCATATTAGTATGATCTTCTGATTAGTATAACATGTATCCATATCAACTACCTCATATATAATTTTATCCTTGTATTTGTTCCCAATTGAAAGAGGAACTCGACATGTCTCGGTTACAATGATAATTGAGTATTTTTTTAATCCATCATAACTTGTATGATATTGGATGAACTTCTATTTGTAATTTTAAGTATCTTATTAGTGATTTCAATATAATGTTGTCACGACTTCTATTATTTATAATCAATTTATAGTTATTAATACTACATTGAAAGTGAAATATTTTTTTATGCTGAGATAGATTTTCTTATCTTGGGGGTGAGTAATAATCTTTTCACAACACTGCAACATGTTCTCCTTCGTCTTCTATTATATTCGTATTGTCAATATTACCAATCATATCATTTTGGGAATCTCTTTTTTTTTAATTATCTTTATGATCTTTAAGGTTAACATTCTTACGAACACGACCCTCATTGGAACGATGACTAAGCTTTCTATATTTGAAACACTTTACAACTAGGGGTCGAGCATATGGATTGTTTGTAATAGTCGGGATATACTTAGCTTGTCTTGTTGCTCCTCCAATATTTATGTCTTGATTTGTAAGTTGTATTGACTCCATTGCAACTTACTTTCCTTTATTAAGAGTATATTATGCTGTCAGAATAGAGAATTATTACATTGTAATTGGAGGTCTAGTCAATAATATTTCAGTCTTTAATGCCATATTGTGAGCTTCATCTACTATCCAGATTAAAGTTAAAGACATTCTATCTTGAATTGCAAAATTTAGTCCATTGACATACCTTATTGTTTATTGGTCTTCTGACTTTGATAAATAATATCTGACTGAAATGCATAAAAATTCATCAATATACTCAATTACAAATCGAGTGCCTTTGATGCAATTTTTGTATTATTGAAACAATAGTTGTTCAAAGTCTGAAGGTAGGAATCTTCCTTTGAGAAATTGTTTCATTTTTCACTATGTTTGTGCTAGTCCCTTACCCTGTCTTCTTCTATTATTCTATAATGTATCCCACCAAGTTGCTGCACTTTCTTCCAACTTGTATGCAATAAGCTTGAGTTGTTTGTGATAAGGAACATCCATCACCTGATGTGGCCATTAAAAGCTTGAGTTGTTTGTGATAAGTTCTCTAATTCATAATTCCAAGCAAGAAAAGCTTTAATACTGATGTGACCATTAAAATTAGAGAGGTTTACTTTTAAGACGATAATCCTCAAATAGCTTATTTCGTCTGGGTGGTGCTTGATATCTTCTGTACCTTTCACTATCATTTTTTGAGACATCATCATATATTATTGGTTGTTGTGGACGGATAGTATCAGGTTGGTGGAAGTATTGAGGTTGAGTTACACTTTGAAACTTTTCTTTAGTTGGTTCTGTGATAGTCTATAATTTTATCTTCTTTGTTTGAGACATTTTTATAGGCTGGTTGTCTATGCTAAATTGCATGCACGTATTGATGATTAGGCTAGCCATAAGCATCAACTATGACATGATTAATCCTACCATCATCACGAATTTTGATGGCATCCAAACCTAAGTTAATGAGAATGTCGCGAATCTCTCGGAGTTCTCGGATCATCCTCACTTTTTATGTTTTTAACGCCACCTATAAGGCTGGCACTCCCCCCTTATTATTATTGGGGTTGTTGCCATTACCATTGAACTTGCAATTACCAACGTTGATAATGCCAATGCCATTGTTGTTGTCACCGTTATTGCCACTAAACCTTATCAATTACCAACATTGATAATGCCAAGGGACTATAGAGTTGTACTTAACAAATTATGTTTCTAATACATAAGATCTATCATACGTGATGAGTGTAGAGCAAACTATTTAATTTTCTAACCACAAACCTA